ACAGTGTCAAAAGCCTTCCGGAAGTCCAGGAAGACTATGTCCACAGCTACCCCTGCATCTAATGATCTGGTGATCTGATCATAAAAAGCCACCAGGTTGGTCTGACAGGACCTGCCACTGATGAACCCGTGCTGATTGCCCCTAAGCATGCAGTCCCCCGCTGGCCCCTCCTGGATGTGTGCCAGAATTATTTTCTCAAACAGCTTGCCTAGGAGAGACGACGCAGGTGCGTGCCTCTTGGATAGATAAAAGCCTTCCGGCGCTCGTGCTGCTTCCCCTGGCTCGCTCAGCTACAGTGGGGTCCTGACGCCCGTCTGTCTTCCTCATCTGGGGCAAAGCCGATTGCCACGGTGGGAAGTGGAGCTGTTCCCTGCTCCATTGGTACCAAACCCTCAGGGCCATGGCAGATGCCAGGGGTCGCGCCCTGGCGTGGGGCTGGTGAGCAGAACTGAGCCCTTCCCATCCCGAATCCTCTCCTGTGTGGATACCCATGTATCCAGACTGACGGTCGTACCCTCGGGCCTCCCACCTGTGAGCTCTTACAGGCAGGGCTGTCTGGCCTTGGCTGTCTTTGGAAAAAGCCTGAGGTGTTTGCCGTGCCCCTTGCAGCGCTGTGCAGGGTCAGACCGGTGGCCTGTCTGTCCTGCTGTCCTCTCTGCGGGAGCAAGCAATAGGTACTTTTAAAAGGAGAGCAAGTGAATGGGCTGTGTCTGGGGTGATGTTTCCCTGCCAGACCCTCCCTGGCAGGGGCCGTCAGGATGCATCTGTGGAGCAGCTCCCCACGAACACATCCACCACGGACTGGTGTGGTCCCTTTCTGACTTCACTTATACCATCGGCCTCTCACCTCCTGTGGCCATGAGTGCTGCAAAATTGCACCTCACCTCATTGCTCTGAAAGCTGTGTCCGGCTGGCCCCTGCCTCTGCACTTCTTGCCTCCATCATCCTGATCTCTGAGCTGCGTGCGGCGTGGTCACACGGGTGCCTGCCTGCCTGCCTGGGGCTGGGCCGCTTGCCTTGCACTGGACGTGCTGAGCAGGTGGATGCAACCAAACTCTTTGTTTAGGAAAAGCCCGGCGCCCTGAACTGGGGCAACAGCTCATCTGCCTCTTTCTAGCTGCGCTTCTGGTGTCTGTGCAATGGGGACTGCATCCGTGCCTGTGTCTGGGGCCATCAGGAAGTAGGTGCTGGTTTGGTAGCCCTAAGCAATCAGGCCTCTTGCATACCAATCTCCTCGCCAAGCCCCTTTTCCTCCTCCCTGCCAGTGTCTCCCATCTATTTGGCATTACTCTGCCTAATACCTAGTCTTCCTTTCGTATTTCATATTTCTTCCTTTTAAAGTATGCCTGCAGTTTGTCCGGCTGGCACCAGCCTACCTGTCACCTGTGCATAATCGTGTGCCATTGGGTTATCCACTAAACATGAAAGGGTTTCTTCAGGATCACCCTCGACTGGTGCAAAAAGTCCCAGGGAGAGGCAGGGAGAAGATGCCCGCTGTGCCGAAGAGCCTGTCTGAACCGGTCAGACCTGTTTCAGTCGCGTGGTGGGTTTCCAGCACCTGTGAATGCTCAGCTGTAGCCCAGGAGAGGTGCAAGCTAGGAGGGAGCATCAGCTAAGAGGGAGCTAGTAGGAGGCAATGTTTGTCTGGGGATTGAGATCTTCTGCTATGGTTTGGGGCTGTGCATTTAGCATCCTGCAAGGTTTCCCTGCACTTTCAGTCATCTTGCAGCAGTACCCTCTAGCGCACACGCACGGAGACTGCAGCTGGGGTTGGCCCTGTGAGCTCGGGGGCCTGCTCCTTTTGCACTCCCTCCTTGCTGGGCGTCTCTGGCCTCCCACACTGCTCTGAGCCTGCCAGGGAACCGTGAGCCGTGGTCGAGCATCATCGCTGAGTTGGCTGAACTTTTCTGAGCGGGTCCCTGCAGCGAGGCTTGCAGGTGGTCCTAGACGTTTGCCGCTTCAGAAGTAGCTTTGCCCTTTCTGGCCAGCTGCGCCTGCAAGAAACCATGCTGCACGGGTGAATCATCTTACCTTGCCCAGGAGCTTGTGTTGTTAGTGACCATTCAGAGTCAAAGGATCTCAAAGCACTTAATGAGCATGAATTGGTTCAGCCTGGAGGTCCCTTTCTGCAGGGCGTTTGTGGTTCCCATCTTGCAGGTGGACATGCAGACTTCAGCTTTCCAAGTTGCCTCTGGTTTGACTTGACTTGAGGTTACAGGTGACAGGTCCCTGGCACCAGGAGTGCCGGGTTTCAGTGGCTCCCCTCCTGGCAGGGAGATGCATTATGTTCACTGCCCGGGGAAGTCATGGAGGCTAATCCCCGGGGGAAGAGGGGCAGGAAGGGGCATCACATCTGGACCCCGCAGCAGGTTGTGAGCCACGGGGCCCAGGGAGGACCAGCTCTTTGCACACTCCAGGGCCGCACACTGGACTCAGCAAAGTGGGTTTGTTCAACCTCTGAATTGCTCTGCTGAATCGAGGGGCTGCTTGTGCCACCGCCTTCCCCAGTGACTTAAAACCACCATCGCTCTCTCCAGCCTCTGAGCTAAAGCCTGCGCTGGGACACGGGCTTTCCTGCCTCCTGTGTTTCCGGGGCAGGTGCATTTCCCAGCCTGAGGTCTGCCCAGGTGCGGGAGCGGTGGAGCTTCGCCCTGCGCCCACGCGTTGGCAGCAGGGCGATGGGGTGTGAGGCAGTGTTGGGGCAGCTGCCTGGCTCAGCCATGCTCTAGGTGTGTGGGATTTCTAAATAAATGTTTGGCACAGGTCACTGGGGCCTTTTTGGAGGTGAAAATGTTCCCAGAGAGGGCATCTATCCACAAAGACAGCTCTCGAAGGGGACCTCCACGGGACTGAACTTCACGTGGGTGGACGTTGAGACCCTCGGCCCAGGCCTTGGGAGATCCAGAAAGTGTCACCGTGAGGACAAAAGCAGCTGGAAAGGACTATGAAGCCAAGTGTACATCCCCGCACGTGGGCCGCAGGAGTCCATCAGCTGGCGTTTGCGCGGTGCCCTTTGCGCCGGGAGCAACGTGGCGCCAGTATAGCACCACTTCCCCGGTTAACGGGGTTCCAGATTCGTGTGATGCTTAGTGTGTTTGGAGCTGGGGGTTATATTAAAATGGTGTTGTGTGTGTGCACCTGCCCCCCACACAAGGGAATCAGACCCTGCGTGTTGGGGGCCTTCAGCGAGTGGAGCCAAAGGGTCTGTGCCTTCAGGGCAGGAAGAGCCGAGTCCTGCAGCTCGTAGTGCTGAAGCCAAAAGACAAAGCCGTTAGCTAGTTGAGCCGGCCACGTGCCCGGCTGCGCGGTGGGTGTCTCCTGGAGGTCCCATCTCTGCTCCTGGCGTCTCGCACCTATTCACCTGCTTGGCAGCCCTGGTCCCCAGCACCGTGCCCGGGCTCCCTGGCTCCCTTCAGGTGCGTCTCTGCCTTTGGACCCTGCGGCAGGAATCCTGCACTCTGGCAGCGAGCGGGCTGCCGTCTTCCTCTCTCAAAGTGTCCCCCCCGGCTCTCCAGCCCCTGACCTGCTGCTTTCCCGGCTCTTCACAGAGCCGGCATCGGTGTGCGGCTCCTGTTTGCACCGACTGCCGCCCGTGCAGGCCCGGCTCGAGTGTCCGAGCTCCCTCCCTTCCTCGCTCCCCGTCAGCTCCAGCTCTCGGCTCCATTT